TTAAAAATAAAATAAAATAATAAAATTTTGTAAACTTACAGAAGATTCCAAAAAAAATTGAAAATATTTTCAATTGACAGAGAATGGTTTGTGTCCTGTTCAAAATGCTCGATCATATTTCATGGGTACGTAGTTCGGTATCATTATCTTGTAAATTGATTTTATTAAGATTATCTTTTGAGACTAAACAAAAATGACATAGATGATTTGAATTATATGCTTTATACGTGAGACAAAACATTGAAGCTTCAAGCTAATCAGAAATTACAACTGAAATTCAGGGAAAGAATCAAAATGGTTTATCAGATATTGTCAAATCAATATCATTATTAGATTTTAGAAGGGGATATAAAAGTACTTTTAGGAAATTATGAAAAGCTTCTCGTACTACTCTCTTAAATTTAATAGATTTTTTATCAGAATTATCACTTGCTGATAAAATTGGTAAATATCCTAATAATTGTTTTGAATCAGGTTTGTTACGCCGCTGATTTTTAATGTTCTAATAGTTACATATATAGGATATAATTGACATTTTCCTAATGTATCAATGTTAGTTGCATCAGAATATAATATCAAGGATAAAAGTTTTGCGCCAATTGGTAAACATTCTTTGTATTCTTTCACCACATGCCAGTATTTTGTTTGCTATTATTCTTTCTCCGTCAATCTTTAATTTATTTAAAAATGATTATTGATATTAATGTGATTAAACGTAAATATTAAATTACATAAATTTAAATAATTACCTCAAGATTTTTAAAATTTAACGCAAAATTTTGCATTATATCAGGAATTGTCAAAATATTATTTGTGCAATTTATAAGATTTAGATGATAAAGATAATATTCTATATTATTATAGGATATTATGCAAGTTTTTTGGTAATCTAAATTTGGTTTATTCATATTATCCATAAATTATCGTTCTTGTTCAGTTGATTTAAATAGTGGAGATGTAACAAGATTTGCATATTTATTAAAAAAATGGATTATTTCATTTCCTGTATTATTATTTAATTTATTTTTAATTACTAATATTATAAAATCTTCATATGCTTTGTTAGGTAATTTACATTTACATCAGATTCAGACTCTAAAATATCTTAATTTATTATTGAATCTTCAGATATAATATTTTTAAAATTACTGCTATGGTCGTCACTTAAAAGTAATTCTTCAACAGGCAGAGGGAGATCTTCATATGAACTTTCATCATTCATCTAAAATAAATGATATATATGTTTATATTTAAAAATATTTAAAAAAATTATATTACAATACTTTGTTAAAAAACATACTTCAATAGAATTAAAAATCTCTTCACTTTTTAGTGAAACATCATTAATATCCATAATAGAATTATCACTTTCATCACTGATAGATTGATCGCAAATATTAACATACTAGCTATACCCTGAACTAGGGTTCCGCAATTCGATTTGACATTTGAATATTTGATTTGAAAATCAAATCAAATACAAATTCAAATTTATA